CACTGTACATATTTTCTTACCGTTGTCACGCTTACATTGGTTGTTGTTAACAACTTTGTTGTACTTTGTACAATCTTGCAATGGAATGTTTAATCAATATCGATCAAGTTGTCGAATAGGAGGGGGAGGTAGGCACTGTGTTGACGGTAGGAGCAAACAAACAGTGGAGACGTGAGTCGTATCACCGTAGTTTTCTCGACTAATCGTTGAAAAAAATTTTATGAATACTTTCCTCGATAACTTTTCTTTTCTTCTTTTTCTTTTGAATTCTTTATAATACTTAAGAAAAGTTCCACTTTTCACGATGTTTTTCCTGCGTTCGTAGCCATATGTTTGTATAGTATTTTCTCAATTTCTTTTTACATTTTATTTATCGTCGTTTATAATAATACCAACTCGTAACGAAAATTAGGTATATATGTACATAAATCGGTACCATTAACGATAGCGACATCGATAAATACAATTTCATACATCATATATGTTTTTAATATATCGATATAACGATAAAACATTGTTGACGATATCGATAATTATATCGGTTCCTTTTTATAAATATATCTATAGAAAAATCGAATTTTTAAGTAATAGGATTACTTCTGCATAAGGAAAATTGAAATAGAACGAAATAATCATTGTTCATCTTACCACTTCCTAAGCCATAAATACTTTACGCTGTCTGTATGCTATTAAAGCCGGTTCCGTTTTCCCTATCAAGGAACCTGCCATCTCTTCTTCCTTCGATCAGAGAAAAGCTTATAAAGAGCAAACTTTGCGGCTTTTTCATCGCCTACCTTGTCTTCACTAGACTAACAAGAACATATGTACAACTTAGTAAGAGGACACTTTTACTAATATACATACATATGTACATACTACAAAGGTACAAAGGTACTTACTAAAAATGGAAATCCAATAGGTGACGGGTTCTAGTAATGCCGATACATTTTTGAAGTATTTAAAAGGGAAATCTAAAACTTCAGTTTCGTTGCGAGTGTCGTGTCGAATGCAAATCGACAATTTATCCACCATTCTTCTTGTACACATTAAGGCCTTACTCTTGAAGGAAAAATGCTTTTCTATGATGCACATATGTTTGTACGTCTATAGCTGGGAAAATCGCGTTGATTTTTGGCAATTTTTTCAACGCATTTTCTTGCATACAAAGTACTTTGTTCGACAACTTTTTTATATTGAAAAAAAATGCGTAATACATTCAGAATAAAAATTATCAAAAATCAGCGCAATTTTTTAGGAACTTCAAACTTGCACTTTATTCTACTAAAATTTAATGGGCTATAAAACTGCACACTTTAAAAAATTCTAAAAAATCTGATTGAAAAGTTGAAAACTTAAATGCAATCTTGCGGAATTTTTATACATTTTACGCAAAGTTTGAAATATGAGTTTATATGGTTTTACTTTTATAAAAAATAATAAATATTAAATAAAAGAAAAATAGGAATTTTTTTTTAAATGTCTTGTCCCTATTTATTTTTCCATCACTGTATGCAAACTTACTACATACTCAGATGTGGACATTCAAATACGTGCGTGCTAAATTTTAGTATGAAAATACATTTTTTCTTGTTTTAAATACCAACGATAATTTAATATAAAGTGTTAATTTTTACTATGCATTATTTCCCTCAATGTATGGGTATGGTTAACCTACAGCACAGTCAGGTGGAAAAATTCCATGCACAATATATAAATACATACATACATATGTATTAGGGCGGGGTTTTTCTTTAGAGGGCCGCCTGAGGTCGCTTTCGTACTTTTTTTGGATTCTTACGTTTTTTTTCCGAAAATCGACAACATTGTTGCGAAAATCCACGAAACTTGACTTTCTCATAATGCAATTTAAATTTTTAAATAGCCTAAACATTCAGCGTTGAAAATTAGGGGGAAGGGAGGTGTATTCATGCACAACTTATATCGATTTTATTCAATTTAGGACAAAAAATTGGTTTCTTTTTTTCATTTGTTCTCTGAATTTTACAAAACAGATTTTTTTCTTATTTTAATAAAATTTTTTTATTCAAAAATTCAACTTAAAAGATAAAAACATTAAATACAAATGAGAAAAAAATATACAATTTCTAATGTTTCAGTCTTTAAATACGTATGACGTATGCTTTTTTATTTTCATACTGTGTTTAATATGTAAAATAAGAAATAAATAAAATTAAAAAAAAATTCAACGCTGAACATTTTAGGCTATTTAAAATTTAAATTGCATTATGAGAAAGTAAAATTTCGCGGATTTTCGTCATTTTTCGAAAAAAGGCGTTAAAATTAAAAAAAAAGTACGGAAGCGCCCTCTGGCGGCCCTCAAAAGAAAAAATTAATACCAGAAATGGATTCCTCAACCCCAAAAACCCCCAGATACAAATTTTGGCTAGTTTTCAATACAGCTGTTTCAACAGGTGAGCCACTTTTTGAAAAAAAACTGGCTCAAAATTCATTTTAGACGTATGGTTTTTTGGGCAAAATTGTGCAAATCGACCCTCCCTAATATGTATGTATCTACATGCTCAAGTATATACAATGCACATACATAAGCGAATTTCTGGATACAAATCTCCATTGTTATTTTCCTATTTGTTTACCTACAGTGCTTGGTAACTTATTTACTATTTGTTCAATATCTGGGTTAGTGGGTGAAGTTTTCGGTATTCAATGCTGTTTATTTTTTACCTACAAACATTTATACACACAAAAAAAAACTCAGTTGTAAACCGTCTAGAACATCTGGCATGCAATACACACATCCAAGTACTGATTCACCAATAGTAGCAATGATATGCAAACAAAAAAAGTCGTTACCATAAATATTAATGTGCATTTTTTCTACGTTGATTACTTACCATAAATTCTGGTAAATATTTTGTTTTGACACACTATTTGCCGCCATGCGTGCAGCTTTTCATTGTTCAAATTACGCTGGTATTTATACATAGTTTCCACGCGCTTCAAATGCACGTTGACATGGGTCAATAAATTATACATACATGCTATAAATGTTTTAGTTTGCTATCGATTTTCAAATCAGCAAAGGATAACCGATACGGAAGTTTATTCCTCAAGTAAACTCGCGCATTCCTAAATTACATCCACTTTTTGTTATTATTATTTTGGCGTAATACTTACTTTGCTCTAATTATCACATAAAATTCTTTTAACACAAAAAAGTGTGTAGCTAAATGTGAAACGCTAAGCCTTTGATACAAGTATAGTCTATTTTAAGGCGCATTAAATAGTAACTCGTTAAGTGCCTGCCTACAAGCTACATAATTGTTTACTATTTCTACCTCGTTTCGCACGCCAATAAAATATCCTTGCACTCTACACCGTAATCACTTGCACCATATGTAGCAGCTTTATGCCAATACCAGCGCACAGTGGCCAACAAAAGCAAACTGACAATGACCTTTTAGTTATTTTATTTTTAAATTTGTTTCTCAATTTTTGTTTTGTCTAAGCTTAGCCTAATGATTTTTTCTATATTTTTTTTTCATTCTATGTAAATTGTATTCGTTCACATAGTCGCTGTATGCGCATGATTTTTTTTTCACACGCACACATGCCATAAGCGTTGTATTTTTTCTCGATAGTCGTTTATTTTTATTGCTGGGTTAGTGGGCCTTCATTCTTCTTCATCTATCCTTTCGTATTTTTTCTATATTTATTTGTGTGCGTGTGCTGTACCGCCCTCCGTGTCCGTAGTTGTTTTTTTCCGCATTCGCTTTTGCGGAAATATGCATTTTTAGGCTTAAATGGCGTAGAAATGTCGCTTTACCTGAGCTTAAAATGACTTCAAAAGCAGCGATGCTAAGTTTTTATAAGAATTTATGCAGTGTCAATGAAGTAGTCTAATAAAATGCGGGAATTTAGAAGTAAAATAAGATGGAAAAGGAATATTTTTTTTTTTATTAATATTCAAATAAGTATCAATTTGGATTTTTTTTAATCTAAGCCTTCGAATTAGAATCTGACTTAAATATTCTTATATGAACTAATAAAAAAAAAACAATGAAAATGTTAAATAAATAAATAATAATAATTACTTCTACCACTTAGGCTTTGTTGCTTTTTCCATTTTTCCTAACAAACAAATCGTGGTACAAAGCACAATAACATTGTTAAAAATTAAATAAAGAAATTTTAAAAATATGAAAAAAGTAGACAAAAAAAGTAAAAATTTAAAATATTGTATATAAAAAATAAAACTATAGGTTAAAATTCAAGAAAAATAAATACTAAGTAGAATGCAACCACGTTTGTTAATATAATCAGATAAAAAAAAAATGAAAATTGGAATAAATAAAATTAAAAACTAAAAAATTAGAAAGATTAGAAACAATAGTAAAAATTTGAACTAGAAAAAAAGTTTACAGAAAAATAAATAAAGATTTCAAAGAAATAGTAAGAATTTAATTTACAAAAGGACAAAATTGAAAAAGTTAAAGAAATAAAAAAAAATGAGTTCGATTCATAAAACAACGTTAAAAATTAAAAAAGATGTAAAAATGTTAAAAAATTAAGGGTAAGCCGTTTCATACGAAAAAAATTGTAATTAACCAAAATTTAATTAAAATTTAAGAAATTTTAAAAAGAAATAAAAATTTTTATTTAACAAATAAAAAGAATAAAAAATAAATAAAAATTAATGAAAAAATTAAGATAGTTGTAATTAAAGGAAATTAAAATACGGCTTTAAACAATTAAAAGAATTAAAAAAATAAAAATTTAAAGAAATGAAATAAGTAAAAATAAAGTTTTAAATAAATGTAGAAAATCTTAAACAAAAAAAAATTAATTAATGAATTATCTAAACTAAATAGTTAAAAATTAAAATTTATTTAAAATAATTGAAAAAGCTTAAATTTATTTAATTAAATTTTAAAAATTAAATTAAAAGAATTAAATTGAAATCAGTAAATTTAAAATAGTAAAACTAATTTTGTTTTTATGCCCTCTCATTTTCATTGCAGGATATCGCCGCCTACATTAAGAAGGAATTCGACAAGAAATACAATCCCACATGGCATTGTATTGTGGGCCGAAACTTCGGATCGTATGTCACACATGAGACGCGTCACTTTATTTACTTCTACTTAGGCCAAGTGGCAATTTTATTATTTAAGAGCGGTTAAACAATAACAAAAAAATAACAAACAGCAACAACAACAAAATACCACTTACACACGTACACATACATGGAAAATTTACAAAAAACAAAATACAAAAACAATTGAATTCATAGTAGAGAAAGAAATCAACTAAATTGGAGGAAAAAATCCCAAAGCAACAAAAAATTACAACAACAGTAGTCGCAGTAATATTATCAACAATAGAATTGAGAACTGAACAAAGCAGCGCCAGAGGCATTAAAAAAGCACAGGGAAATGGCAATGGCAAAATAACACGTTCCACAAATTGGTGTTGAGTGTGGTTTAATTTCGACTTAATAGTGTTAATTAACGGCTAATTTGAGGCGGTGGAACAGCGAAAGGAGTATACAAGCTAAGCGATGGCAAGAATAAAGCAATTAACACTTAAATAATTAGCGCAAAATGCTAACCAATTGGCTTGGTTGAAAATTTGTTGCCGCCAACCTGAGCTTGGCATAACATACATACCTTCGTACTTGAGAAAAATTTCACGTTTTGAGAATTCAAATTTGCTCGCCCAACACGCAAATGCGTACATGTGTTATGTGGAACTTAAGCTGAAGCGTAACCTACTTAAATAGTTACTTAATTTCAACTGTAAGCAGCGCTCATATCTAAGCAGTTCGAACTGGCGTAGCGTGAATTCGGGTTGTGGAGCCGAGCCTTCTTTAAATGGCTGTGTAGTGGCTTGCTTTTCACTTTCGGCTGTTTTGTGCATAAAACTGTAGTCTAACGTGGAAAATTGTGGAGTTGGATCGGTGAGCCTACTGCTTTTCGTTTTTGGCGTACTTAAAAGTCTACTGGCAAAGTTCAATTTGGATTCGCATGGATTTGGATTGTGGAACCTAACCTGAAAGTACTGCTAAATGCTGCTTTTCCGTTTGGGCGCGTATTTTAAATTAGACACTGCAGTCTGGTGAGTAGAAGTATGAGCTTGGATTGTGCAATCTAACTTGAAAGTTCTCCTAAATGCGGCATTTACGTTTTCGTGTGGTTAAATTCAAGCAAGCGCAATCTTATCTGGAGTAGCAAAGATTTGGAATGTGGAACTTAATCCGAAAATTTGTCTAAATGATTTCTTTCGTCTGCAGTATATTTCAATTAATACGCAAGCAGCCGCTATCCACATGCTGACGGTTTGGGCTGTGGAATGTAAGTCGTTTTACAACATACTACAAGGTTATTGTTGCCGCTCTTCATGCCACCAAGCAATGAGAAACAAGGTTCCCAATGAATTTCCACACACAATCCCATCTAAAAGCTTTGGAACTCTGGAGTGGCTGTCGATAGTGCATGCTATTTGGCAAGCTCATTCCATATACATGAGATCTGCTGCAAGATTACACCATTTAGAAATTCATCATTTCATGGACTTGACAACAAAAACAAATTCACTACTATTACGTGCACAACACACAAAACACACCTCACGCCCCAACATACAAAAACAAACAGAAAAATGTTGTAAGGGAAAAATTTCGCAGATTCAGTAAAAGATGCAGAAAATAGTAGAAAATAGCAAAACAAAACAAAAACAAAAACAAATCTCAAATGGAATGATGGAAAATTTAACATTTTATGCGTATTTGTATTAGTAATATCAGCAAGCAACAACAGCAAATTATTTATATATATATACACATATATATTTGTTAGTCTAAGTAACAAGCAAAATGAAAATCCATGAAAAAAAATTGCAAATTGCGTACACAAAACAAAAACAAAAAGCAAAAGAAATGCTAAGAAGAAGCAGAGGAGGACGAAGAGTTCGGAACAGTTGCAAAAACCAAATAATTCTATAGAATTGGACCAAACTTGAATGGAAGTTGAAAAATTGTATGCAAACCAAAAAAAGTTAGAAAATTATAAAAGACATAACTAAATATTTCCATCCACAATTATAATTGAGTATAAAAATTGAAGAAATATCGAGAGAAAGGTGAAGAGCGCGCGCGTTAAGCAGACCAACAGGCGTAGGAACGAAATCCATTAGAAAATGTTGACAAATGAGTACGAAGAAACGAACACAAAACATGAACTCTAGCTTCACACAACCACAAAAAATTCATCATCGTGTTGCTTCATAATACAACAAAAACCGACAAACAACAAGCGAGCAAACGAGCACAACACTATTTAAGACACCTTTTTGTGAACGCATGTAGTAGCAATAATAACAACAGTAACAACAAATAAGCAAGCAAATTTGGGTGGAAAATATAAAAAAAAAAAATAGCAGCAGTTTGACGCTGTCGCTGGCAGAAAAGTGATGCTGCAGCAGTGCAAAAAGTCGAATATTGCCAGCAGGCCACAGCGACAGCAGCATAACAAAACCAGCGCATACTAGGCTATATATATTCGATTTAATGATAATATTTTCTTCTGTGAAACTTCTCTTTATGCTGTTGTGTTAAATAAATTGTAACTGTTTTTTGATTTGTAAAAAAAGAAAAAGAAAAAAACAAAGAAACTTCTGATATGTACTTCTTGCATAGTAACCCAAATGCCATTATATTGCAATATTGAACCGGTGGTTGTATGAGGGTATTTTTTATTTAATTTTTTTCCTATTTTGGAAATTTTTAAGCGATATGTGTTCAAAAAATAAACTTAATTTTTGTTAAAAAAATTAATTTGTTTTTGTTGAATTTATTTATGATGCTTTAAGCTCAGAATACAGCTCTAGAAAAACGGAAAAATTGATCAGTTTGCAGCTCTCAAGAAGATATCGATTATTCAAATAAATTGCAGTAAAAGGTCTGAAATTTAAGAAAAACAATTTGCTTAGTTTTTATCAGGGTTTGAAAATGCTGTAATTTTTTCATTTGATTTACTTTTGCTGTGCTTTGACTTCGGCATGTATGATATCGAAAGCAAAGCAACAGCAATTCGGAAAAAGCAAATGCTTTGGCTGTCGTTTTGCTGTAAAATTTCGAAAGCAACCAGACAGTTAAAAAACAATATGTGAAAGCACAACGACAGCGCTGCGGCAGCAAAGCAACAGCAATTCGACTATCATTTGACCGTGAAACATGAAATTGGCAGAAATATGTATGCATGCACAAATGCACTACCCTTTAGTTGTACTGGTGACAAGAGGCGATGCATTACCGATTGTTAGGAAATTCGCTAGCGATTGGTAATCGCCAATTTCACACCAGATAAGCGCTAGCGAAAGGTCAAGGCAAAGGAATTGATACTGCAAATTTTGTGTGTACTTACTCCTGGCGAGTCAGCGATAATACACCATGCTGCAAAGCTTCATGTGCACAGGACATTCAAGCAAATCACAGCACAAGAAAAGTGCTATCACAGCATATCAAAAGCAGTAAATTCAATTTACTAAATTGTTTTCAATAAACTGCCGACAAAAAAGCAAAATAAAATTTTCAAAATCACAGCGAAAGCAAATCAGTTTGAATGAAAATCAAAAATTTCAAAGCGAAGCAAAAGCAAAAATAGCTGTTGCTGCTGTGCTGACAGTTTTTCAAACCCTGGTTTTTATTCATACGACCCTTGTATGAAAGAAAGTTTAAAAAAATTATGAAAAATATTTCTTCTGATTTTTCTTAAGAGCTGTATTCTAAGTTTTAGCAAAGAAAATAGCTCGTTTTTGAGAAGGTTTATTAGTGCTCAAATTCCGAAACAATTTCCTTATTTGCTTCAGGCTTAGGGTCGATCGAGGTCTTTTACATATCGTTAGTTTGCTGCAAGAGTGTCATAATTAAAAAAAAAAAAAAATCAAAAACTCGTCAAAAAAGGGGCTTAAAGTTTACAGCTAGTAAAAATGAAGGCACATTTTCTTCTGATTGTGCTATTGTTAATAAATACAGCTTTGAAATTTTTACACAACTTAGAAGAAGATGTGGCGGTTTGTGTGTGGTGATTTCTGCAATTTTTAATGGAAGTTTAATTTTTTTTGTGAATTATGACACTTCCAATAAATGAGCTACATGTCGATTAAAATTCTTGTAATTCACTACTTTCAATATAAAAAAATTGTACAAAAATCTATTTCGAACGTGAAACTGAAATTTTTGCAAATGCACAGAGTTTGCTGAGAAATGTGTACATGTGTATATTGATGATCAAAATTAAGCCGATAGCAGTTAGCAAGAAATTGCTTTTCCAAAAAAAAAACAGCACCACAAAAGTGAAATACTTACTTATCTCTAAAAATTTTCAGATATTAAAACCATATAAAAGGGTAAAATTTTGGTAAATCTCCATTTTTTTCTTGTTTGATGTAACTTATTCATTCATATTTTACTACATAAGTTAAATTTTATTAATTTTTTTATTTCTTAACCATTCCTTATAATTTTATTTTAAACTTCCTAACATATTTTTATAATTTAGGTGCTTTTATATACATAAACTTTTTATTATACATATTAATATATTTATGCCATTTTATATAGTTCTCCATTTTTTAGTTTTTTTTTACATTTTTTATTTTTTGTTTTTTTTTATTTTTTTGTTTTATTTTTTTATTTTTATTTTTATTAATTATTCCTTTTGATAAAAAATACCCTCTCGCTCCACTAAAAACATTTACAGTTGACTTTTGCTAAGAAACAAAAAAACACTAAATAGAAAAAATCGTTAGCGAAATTGTGTGCAAATTTTTTTGTGCGCTGTTGCCATACATTTACACAAAATTTGCATAATTCAAGGCAAAGAAAAGCGTGTTTACTTAGATTTAACTTATGTATGTATGTAGTTTTTAACAAGCAAATGTATACACGTGTAATTAATGTACATTTTGTAATTTGTGTTCTTCTAAAAACGAAACACGTAATTGCAAACTCACTTAAAAGGCATATTGGTAGACCTGTTGTTAAGCAAGTATGTATGTATGATTGTACGCGTGTTCTATTAATATTTTCTATTTAAACAAAAAAACTAAAGCGCAACTGCCCGCTTCCCTAAAAAATATTACTTAATTTTAAATAGTTTAATTAATTTCAATCCCAATTAAATTTTAACATACATATATATGTACGTACATATATGTAAAACAATTTCCTGTAATTTTTTTACACTAAAAATGTTCACAAATTTCGAATTAAGCGTTTTCCTTAAAATTGTGTGACTGCAATTATTTGTACCCAATATGCATCGTGTATGGAAAAAATTTAATTATATACCTACGCTATCGTTATTAATTGTACTTTTTGCACGCATTTCCTCACACATCGCTAATTACATGCCTTTTTTTAATACATTTCAATTTTCTTTTTCCTATTCTTAAATTGTAGTATAAAATTTAATAATAAATAAATAATAAAAATGAAATGATAAAATCACATACACACTTAGCTTTCTACCTAAAAGTTCTTTTCGCGTATTGCTAATACAAGAGAAGAAGAAAAAAAAACACAATATATTAAATAAAAAATAATGAAAAACTTCGTAGTATAATTAAATATACATTTTATGTAAATGTTTATAAATTATAAAAGTAAAATGAGAAATAATAAAATGAAGATGCGATGAAATAAAAATCTCTAAGAAATGACTATACAACTTTTTGTCTTTCAACTCTGCTGCTTGTTGCCCTTCTGCATTTTCTTTACTACTTTTTGTCGCTTTTTAGAGGAAAGTAAGGGAAGAATATGTATTGTGAATGTTTAAAATTTTAGCGCTGTCTTAATTGTGTTTCTCTTACATGTGTACATAGACGGATTTAATTTGATTGTGTTTGTTTATATTTAGTATATATGATATATAAGTAGCATTTAATTTTTTTTATATGGAAACGATTATCTTATCCTTACACTTCTTCTCACAAAAAAAAAAAATTGTTACGATTGATTGAGACCTTAAAAAAAGCAGTTCGGAACCCTGAAAATCAAGATTCTGTTTAACTCAAAATTTGTAAGATTGTTTTTTTTAAAGTTCGAGGCCCTTAATTATTTGTTGAATAATTTAGGGAGTTCATTAGGTGTTGTATAGGGCTTGTTCGAGTTGCAATCACAACCGCAGTGTTGCGCGAATTATTAAAGTATCACGTTCGGTGTGAATTTCTAGCAGCGTATTGTCAGTTGGGCAGTTGCAACAGTGTTGCAAATTTTCATCAGTGCAGTAGTAATGCCGCTTTTATTACGTGCCTCGAACAGGCCCATACTGTCGTATTGTTGTAGGTCGTATTTTCATAACATTACTAACATAGTTGTGCCACTTTACAATCTATAACTATCAGGCAGGTTCTGCGGATGAATTCAAAATGACTGTCGGAAATTCACTCGGAAACGAATTGCAGAACCTGCCTATATATGACAGCATGATAAAAATATAGTAAGGTAGAACCGCTGAGAGTCACTTTTAAAATTCTTGACGTTTCCAAACAATTTAATTTTTAAATTTACTCACAAACTCACACACAAATTTTCATTTTCTATCTCAAGCAACAACAATTTCGAACAATTTCAATTTTTTATTTTCACTTTTATATGATTTTAAAATGCTGGCAAACTTCAAAAAAAAAAATCATGGCCGACAAATTGAGAGAACGGTTATACCTTGCTATGTTTTTATCATGTATGACAGTATACAATACCTTGTGAGACCGAAGTGATGGCGATGTTTACATTTTATGTATTCTGGAAATACATTTTTCTCAAATTTAACTCTTTAGTGGCTGCACTTTGTACGCTTTAAGCTCTGCTATAAATTTTAAGTATTGTTAAAAAGCAATGGAGCATTCATAGTCGACTCTAAAGTTAGTTGCAGCTTTTCGACAGAAATTCCATTGAAACTTATGTCAAAAGGATGCAACTAATAAACTCGATTTTATTTTGACTATGAATATGCTCCAATTTGTTTTCAAGCTGACTTTATTTTTAGTACTAAAGATTTTCGCATGTTTTCCATGAGATCACTGTACACTTTAACATGCAGTACAGTACATTTAAATTCGGAACACACGGAAATATGTATACATAATATGAAAGAAGTAGCGTAATTTATATAAACCTTTTGATTAAAGTCCTACATTTTTAATAAAATACTTAACATTCTTGTGTAGTTATATAAAATGTCTGATTAAAGGTAATAAACAAATATGTATAGTGGCGTTCAAAATAATATCAGCAAAATTCAAAATGATGCTGTTGGCAACTTGTCTTTATTTATTTATTTTTAATAATTTTCATTTAAAATATGGGTCGATCTATATCAGATACCACATAAATAAAAGTTTCAAAGCTTATACAAATTTCAAAAAAAAAATAATCTAACTTAAAAAGTTGTCATCGAAATTTCAAACTTTTTAATAAGAATCTTTAGAAAATTTTCGGGTATGCAATTTGTAGCACATTCAATTTTAGTGTAATAAAGTGAAAATTTTCAAGTCGCTAAAAATTTCAGTTGATTTTCTAGGATTTGTTTTTTTTTGTGTACGGTGTTGCGCATTTTCTCCCATATAAGAGCGCGGTTACCCACGAACGTATCAAGTCTG